AAGCTCTTTCCACATTCCATGCATTTATGTGGTTTCTCTCCAGTATGAGTCCTTTGATGTCTTCTTAGATTAACGCTCTGACTAAAGCTTTTTCCACATTCCATGCATTTATGTGGTTTCTCCCCAGTGTGAGTCCTTTGATGTGTTCTAAGATTAATGCTCTGACTAAAGCTTTTTCCACATTCCATACATTTATGTGGTTTCTCCCCAGTGTGAGTCCTTTGATGTAACCTAAGTGCAGCACTGTGAATGAAGGTCTTTCCACATTCCATACATTTATGTGGTTCCTCCCCAGTGTGAGCCCTTTGATGTGACCTAAGGTGACTACTCTGACTAAAGCTCTTTCCACATTCTATGCATTTATGTGGTTTATCCCCAGTGTGAGTCCTTTGATGTAACCTCAGGGTACCACTCCGATTGTAGCTCTTTCCGCATTCCAAACATGGATACAGTTCCTTCCCTTTGTGAGTTATATGATGTCTACTGAGATTATATGCGTTTATGTGGTTTCTCCGTTGCGTGAGTTCTTTCACGTGATCTCCACTCCTGCCCACTTGGATTTTCAATTCTCTGTTTTCTTTTTTGGTTATGAGCTCCTGCCCAGGTTGCTCCAGATGTTGCTGGGCAATTCTTCTTCTCTTCATCATCTGGTAAATTAGAAAAAGAGAAACAACCACTTCCAAAATCTGCAGGAATAACGAATGGTGTGTTCGGGCTCTGCCTGAGTCACGGAAAAGGAAGGAAACACAGGCAAGAAGGTGAGAGAAGAGAACCAGGGAGGAGATGAGGCTGGTCCAGAGAATTTTACTTTGGCCTTTAGGCTGGAAGGGCTCTCCACTGAGGGACCTTTTGGAGGGAGGTGTAATGAAGGGATGGTCATTTCCACAACCAAAGAAATATGTGAAATTCAAAGTATATTGATTTCTTTTCCTTCTCATATTCTCTCCAATGATTGTAACTTTAATTTCTAGAAAATTAGAAGTTGAGTAAAGAGGAAAGTTGATTAAAGAGCAATCAAAGTTGATTAAAGAGGAAACAAATATTTGAATTAAAGGATTGTTTAGCAAAAATAAATAATAGGGGGAAAACAGATCAGTGTTAGAATGGAAGAGTAAAAGTGGATGAATGTGATGCAGCTAGATTATTGGACTTGAGAACGGGTAAAGAGCAGTTAGTGGTCAATGGCGGGAATTGACAAAGTCTGCAGAGATTATTAAGAACATATCAAGAACAAGAAAGTGATGATAGTGCAGTAATTAGGACTGAGAGCATAATGGGATGGAATTATTGGTCCACTGGAAGGAGACGCAAACAAGCAGGTGCTTTTATGTAAATGCCCAAAGCATCTGAGCAAAGATGGGAGAGCTGGAACATTTGGTGGCTAGAGATAACATCGATATAGTGGCCATAATGGAAACCTGGTGGGATTTGGAGAACCAGTGGGATGATGCAATCCCAGACTATCAACTCTATAGGAGGTATAGGGAGGGGTGTGTTGGAGGTGGGCTGGCCATCTAGGTCAAATGGACATGAATGGTGGGTCTGATTCCATCATAGATTCACTGTGAGTTAAACTACCAGTCTAAGGAGGAATGAGATAGTGTGTCGTGTGTGTGTGTGTGTGCTATTATCCTCCAGACCAAATACTTGAGGTGGACCTTGAAATGCAGAGAAATCAGGGACATGTCCAAAAGGGACAAGATTGTAATTATGGGGAACACAAATTCTCCTCACATCAATGGGGTCAATGTGTGCTGGATTCGAGAAAGAGTGACTGGGTTTCCTGACATGCTAAAGGAGCAATTTCTCACGGAGCCTAAAAGAGGACAGGTGACTCTGGATCTATTATTGTACAGTAGTCAGGACCTAGTTAGGGACGGGAATTTCAATGGATCGATTCGGAATAGTGACCATGCGGCCATCTCATTTGCCCTGCATGTTGGGGGGAGAGCGTCAAGCAAATCTGAAACAAAAACCCTTGATTTCCAAAGAGTGGACTTCCCTCAGATGAGGAAGGAAGTTAGAAAGAAGTTGAAAGGAAAGGTTTTTTTAAAAATCTCCAGAGTCCATGGAGTCTCTTTAAACGAAGAGTAGTAGAGGCCCTGTGGTAGTGTATACCGCAAAAAAGGGGGAGGGCTGAACTAAGTCCAAGAAAGTGCCAGAATTGTTAACTACTAAAGTTACAGAGGCGTTAACAGGAAAGAAGGGACCCTTCCATAAATGGAAATTCTTTCCAAATGAGGAAAATTAAAAGGTTCACAAACTCTGACAAAAGAAATAGACTACGATTATACGAAGGGCAAAGAAAGACTTTGTGGAACGTATAGCCAGCAATATAAGGGGGAATTTAAAAAGCTTCTTTAAATACAGTGGGGTCTTGACTTGAGAACTTAATCCGTATTGGAAGGCGGTTCTCAAGTCAAAAAGTTCTCAGGTCAAATCTGCATTTCTCATAGGAATGCATTGAAAACCATTTGATCCGTATCTGCTCTTTTCCATCCATAGAAACTAATGGGAAGCTGCTATTCCGCCTTCGACCACTGGAGGGGGATCTTTTGTTTCTTTTTTTCTTAGGTCAAGAAAGGTTCAGGGAAGGCAGGGAAAATACAGTCTAGGCAGTACAGTCCCAGGCAGTTTGAAGACTGTCTCCCAATCCACTCTATACATGCTGGGAGGAGTGAGGAAGCAGACAGGCACCCTTTTCACTGGCCAACAGTTAACTGAAAGTTCAAATTTTGCACTTTCCCTGGGTTTTTTTCAGTTCGTAACTCAAATCTAAGTACAGTGGTGCCTCGCTTAGCGAGTGCTTCGCTATGCGATGAATTCGCATAGCGAGGGGGTCCGGGCCATCGCTGGAGCATTCGCTCAGCGATGGCCCCTATGGCGATTTTTCGCTTTGCGATGATCGCTAAGCGATTCGCTTAGCGATCCTCGCAAAACGAAGCGGGGGAGAACAGCTGATCGGCGGTTCCAAAAGGGCCGCCGGAAGGTCCGCGCTGCATTTTCGCGCCCTGCCCTCGCTTACCGAGGGCGCGAAAATGGCGGCGCTATGGAAGAAACATCGCTTAACGGTGAGTTTTTAAGCCATAGGAAGTTCAATGCGTTTCTATGGCTTTTTTAGTCCCGTTTAGCGATGTTTTCGCATAGCGAAGGTTAATCCGGAACGGATTAACCTCGCTATGCGAGGCACCACTGTATGTAAGTCAAGTCAATATTTTCCTATGAGAGTGGTTCTTAAGTCAAAATGTTGTTAACTCAAGCCGTTCTTAAGTCAAGACCCCACTGTAGTTTAGAAGCAGAACACTTGCCACAGAAGCAGCTGGCCCTCTGGATGGTGAGAGAGGGAAACCAGAGAGAGATTGCAGAGAAATTAGATGAGTTTTTTGCATTTGTCTCCACAACATATGACTTTGGGCAAATTCCGCTGCCCGAATGGCCCTCCTTGAATAATGAATTAAATCAGATACAAGTTGTTCTACTCAAGCCACAGATGTCACCAGATCATCTCCGGAGGACTGGAAATGGTCAACAGGGACTCAAATGGGAAGGAGCCTTTTTCCAGCAGTAGAGGTGGCAGAAAGGTATGAGGACATTTCCACCTTGGTAGAATTTGTATATAACACTTCAGGAGCCATAGACCTCTTGGAGAATGTCACTATGGAGATACAAACAAAATTAAAGGCTGAAGTAGTTTCTCTGAAGAATATGGTTTTGCAACAGAGGTTAGCCACTGACAGGATGCTCCTACATTGTGGTGGCCCGCGTGCGTATGTAAATCAAATACGTTGTATGTACCAGAATGCCTCAAAAGGACTAGTATGGGATCATGATGTGTTAGCAGGTTCTAAAATCTGCTATTAAGGGAGAAGTATTAGGACCTTCAGATTTCCATCACAACATCCATCGAACCACTTGATAAAATAAAAGCATTTGATGAATTAATGGAACATCTCCACTGGGAATTAGGACAAGCTCCTTCAGCCCAAAGGTCCAGCAATCCCTCAAATCCCTTGGATTTGATCCTGACTATAGGGATCTGAAAGTACAAATCTGTCATTGATGGAGGGAATATAGGAAGACTGACTTCAACTGAAGCTTCAAAGAAAGGAAAAATTAACATTGCCACATGGCAATCCGCAGCTCATCGTTTGCCATCTATTCATTCTATATAGTCTTATATATGGAAAATATGGTAATTGCTTACGGCAAACAGGTCTTTACATGGCTTCAGAGCAGGTGCACACAGCATCTCCAAATTTTTATTTGGCAAACCAGTTCCTAGAGACTACATGTTCCATGTTTTTACCAGGACTACAAACTCCATCACAATTTGCATTGCTAGAAAGGCAGCAATTTCTTGAAAATTGAATTGGGCTCGTGCATTCATGAGCCTTAGGATGCATGATTTCTAACCCCTGTTTGATGCAATTCAGGGGCCTCAAATTCCTATAAAATCATCCGTAACTCAAATTCATGAAGGGGCAACTTCCTCTTTTAAAAAAATCTTTGCAGCTGCTCATCACACGTACAGTTCAGACACTTCTCAAAGCCACTGTGATGCCTAAATTGCTTGACTTCTTTAACACTTCTGCTGGGAATGTTTACTCTGCGATTGCAGACCATGTGACAACGGGAAGCCAGCGTATCAAGCACTTCACAAATTTGGAGTACCTGTCTTGCTATGTGCCTATCTTCAAGACTGGCTCACTAATTATTCACACTGTTGATTCAGATTGCATTCTTGACATGCGCTTCAATCCTTTTCTGACCTTAGAAAACTTTCCTGCTGTTAACTCACAGCTTTTTTTACAGCTCACATTCCTTCTCGTAAGGAAAAAAGAAAAAGGGAAAATGTGTGTGGGGGGGCTTCCCAAGGTTGCTAAGCTCTTGGCTGATTTTACAGTCATAGAGCACACTCTCTTGGATGATGTCACAGCTGCTTCTGAGAGGAGCCGTGTCTACCCATCCTTCCTCTTTCTCATAGTGATAGTGAGCTAGCTTCAAAGCCTCTCTTTGGCCAATCCTAATGGCATTATGCAACCATTGTCCTATCTGTATTCTGTCAACTATCTGTGAGCTTTTAAGTTTATTGAAAGAGAGAACACCAAGAGAGCTGGATCGAGAGGTGTGTATGGAGGACTATCTCAAAAGTGACAGAATGATTTCAATACAAATCCAAGGCAGACCTTTCAGCATCACAGTAATCCAGGTTTATGCACCAACCATCAATGCTGAAGAAGCTGAAATTGTTCAATTCTATGAAGACCTACAACACCTTCTAGAGGTGACAACAAAGAAAGATGTTCTTCTCATTCTAGGGGATTGGAATGCTAAAGTAGGGAGTCAAGAGATAAAAGGAACAACAAGTAAGATTGACCTTAAAGTTCAAAACAAAGCAGGGCAAAGGGTAATACAGTTTTGTCAAGAAAACAAGCTGGTCATCACAAATACACTTTTCCAACAACACAAGAGGCGACTCTACACATGGACTACACCAGATGGGCAATACCACAATCAGATTGATTATATTCTTTCCAGCCAACGCTGGAAAAGCTGTATACAGACAGCAAAAACAAGATCTGGAACTGATTGTGGCTCCTCATCATCAGCTTCTTATAACAAAATTCAAGCTTAAACTGAAGAAAGT